AATAGAATAGAATAGAATAGAATAGAATAGAATAGAATAGAATAGAATAGAACAGAGGAATGGAATGGAGTGGAAAATGGAATGGCATAGAATAGAATAGAACAGAATAGAATATGGAATAGAATAGAATAGGATAGGATAGGATAGCATAGCATAGCATAGCATAGGATAGAACAGAGGAATGGAGTGGAAAATAGAATAATAGAACAGAATAGAATATCGAATAGAATATGGAATAGAATAGAATAGAATAGAATAGAATAGAATAGAATAGGATAGGATAGGATAGGATAGGATAGGATAGGATAGGATAGGATAGGATAGGATAGGATAGAACAGAGGAATGGAGTGGAAAATGGAATGGCATAGAATAGAACAGAATAGAATATGGAATAGAATAGAATAGAACAGAATAGAATATGGAATAGGATAGGATAGGATAGGATAGGATAGGATAGAATAGAATAGAATAGAACAGAGGAATGGAATGGAGTGGAAAATGGAATGGCATAGAATAGAAGAGAACAGAAGAGAACAGAATAACAGAGTTGGAAGGGACCTTGGAGGTCTTCTAGTCCAGCCCCCTTCCCAAGCCAGGAGACTTTATATTATATTTGTTCTCAGTCATGCTTTCTTTTTCCTCTGCAGGAACCAAAAACAAAAGTTTCCCCATAATATCTTACAGGAATCTGAGCTTTTGCTGAAAAGTCTCAACCTTTGACTTTCCCCACATCTATGGGGCACACAGAAGCCCCCCCACCCAAATCTCTCTCTGCTAATCAGAGAGATAGCAAGCAGTGCTGAAGGTTGAGGAAATCTGTTATTTTTATTTTTTCCAGACTATTCTTGGTAAGACCGAGAGCAGCTGGGCCAGGCAGAGGCTGTGAAATAGGAAGCGAGGGGCTTTGATGAATGTTTGATGAAGACCAGCACTTTTGCCTTCATAAACATGCAGCCTCTGTGTGTGTGTGTGTGTGTGTGTGTGTGTGTGTGTGGTTGCCAAGGCTGCAATGCCCTAAAATGATTGCAACACCCAGCTGATGGCGCCCAATAACCAAAGATTTCTATGTGTGGCAGAACAAGTACACACACACACACACACATGCGCACACACACACTTATTATCCCCAGGGAAGAAAACCTCACAATGTTTAGAACAGGGAGGGAAAAGGAGGCTTTGGGAGGCTGGTGAGAAAGAGAAATACGCACAACGAAAGTCATCTCCAGCTGCAGGCAACTTATCGCTTCGCCTCGCCCACCAGGTCCTGGAGTTCACTCCTGAGCAAATCTTGATGCTCAGATACTTACGGGGTGTTGGAAGACTTCAGCGATGGGCCTACACGTTCAGAGTCATCCATTCATGCAGAGGATTTTTCCCCCTAGGGGTTGCATCTGCAGATCAGAGGGCTGGTGTGTGTGTGTGTGTGTGTGTGTGTGTGTGTGTGTGTGAAATTTTTCAACACACTTTCTGCAAGTTCTCTGCAACCCCTCTATAAAACCTTAGTAAGGCCACACCTAGAGTACTGCATCCAGTTTTGGTCATCCCACTATAAAAAAGATGTTGAGATTCTAGAAAGAGTGCAGAGAAGAGCAACCAGGATGATTCGGGGACTGGAGGCTAAAACCTACGATGAACGGTTGCAGGAACTGGGCATGGCTAGTCTAGGGAAGAGAAGGATCAGAGGAGACAGGAGAGCAGTCTTCCAAAATTGGAGGAGCTGCCACAGAGAGGAGGAAGGGGTCAAGCTATTCCCCAAGGCACCCAAAGGCCAGACAAGGAATAATGGATAGAAACTGAACAAGGAGAGATTCAACCTGGAAACAAGGAGAAATGTTCTGACTTTTCCCCCACCAAAAAAGGCACCAGGTCTTATTTTTGGAGATGCCATCCACTGGCTAACCTCACTTAAGCATGTTGTCCCAGCCTCCTTTTCACTGTCAAAGGCCTTCAGGAACTTCTTCTGCAGCCAGCAAAGCTGGCAAGGTTTTCCTGAAGACCTCTGCAGATGATAATGGAGCCCCAGATCGATCTACAGAGGCCTTCAAGAAAGCCTTGCTAGCTGCAGAAGAAATGGGCTGGCAAGGCAGGTGTCAGGGTGTGTGAGGCCTGGCTACAACTGTTCAAAGTTAAGTAGTAGGGCAATTTTTACCTGAGCACTCTGGAGTGGGTGGGATCTTAATTAGGGCTTATTTTTTTTGGGGGGGGTAGGGCTTATATTGGGCACACATGTAAAAATCAAGCTAGGGCTTACTTTCGGGTTAGGGGAACCAGGCTACATACATATATACATACCCCCATTTTTTGCAAATTGTATGAATCAGGAAGATGCACCGTCTACTTCTCAGGAATGGTGGCTTAAGGGGAATTTAACAGAATAACAAGAGTTGGAAGGGACCTTGGAGGTCTTCTAGTCCAACCCCATGCTCAAGCAGGAGACCTTATGTCATTCCAGACAAATGGCTGTCCAATATTTTCTTGAAAGCCTCCAGCAATGGATCACCCCAAATGTCTGAAGGTAAGTCATTCCTTTGATTAATTGTTCTCACTGCTAGGACGTGTTTCCGTTGTTGTAGGTTTTTTTTTCTTTCTATGTTCAGTTTCCATCTGTTGCTTCTTGTCCTACCCTCAGGGGCTTTGGAGAACAGCTTGACTTCCTCTTCTTTGGGGCAGCCGCTGAGATATTGGAACACTGCTATCATGTCACCCCTAGTCCTTCTTTTCATCAAACTTAGACATACCCAGTTCCAGCAACCGTTCCTTATATCTTTTAGCCTCCAGCCCCCTAATCATCTTGGTTGCTTTCTCTGTACTCAATGTCTAAATGTCTTTTTTATGCCAAGCTGACCCTGAGTAAAGGCAGCATTATAAACCCTCTATTTTTTTTTAATTCAAAAAAAAAAAAAACCCGCTTCCACATATGTTCTTACCATCTTATTGGCAGCATTCCTTCTTGAGTTGTATTATCCTAGTGTTTAAGAACGTAAGAGCTGGACAGCTCATCTAGTCTAGCATTAATCCTCCAACTGGAACAAGAGCAAAATTACAGGCCTGTGTCAAAGATCTTGCTGGTTCGGTTCTGGAGAATTGCAATAAAGTGAGCCACACGGATGTTTTGATTTCGCAGGGCATATAAAAATGATATTTATGCTATACTGTAGTCTAATGCAGCGCTCAATCGCATTGTGTTTTAAGACGGACCTGTCTTAAGTTAAAAAATACTTTATTGCTAAAAAGTGCTAAGCCTCACTGGAGCCTTTCACAAGTCACAATCATTTTGCTGGTGGAGGATCTCGTAAAAATAACTAAACATAATAAAGTGAACGGCAATAAAACAAGGTATGGCTGGAACAAAATGCATGTTTCCCAGCTTGTCTCTCAACCCAAGCAATGCTAAGGTGTCTAGACTTCAACTCCCAGAATTCCCTGGCCACCATGAACTCTGGGAGTTGAAGTCCAGATATTTCAAAGTTGCCAAGGTTGAAGGGCTGGTATTCATGCATACAGGCAGTTTATCTATCCCCTTGATCCTTGTGGACTCTTAAATTGACTGGATAATTATGAGAGTTGAAGCCCACCTCTCTTCCGGTGGGATGGTTGAAGAACACGATCTTAAGGGGAATAAGTAAGCAAGAGCAGGAGTTGGGAACAGGGGTGGGCTTCAAATTTTTTTAGCAAGGGGGTCTCTGCCCTAATGATTGGCTGGGTGGTCAGTGACTGGGTGGATGTGGCTAACTCCACGTTGCTTCTTTGCCCTAATTACCTAAAAAAAGATATATGTCAACTAAAAAGATTTGGTCTTTTTAGCTGCCAGAAAAAGGGAGTGCGGGAAAACACTGCATTCCTCAAGTGCCTAGATAATTGCCCTGGCAGCCCAAAGTTGTCGGAGTGCAAGAATATTACTGGAGAGCATGATTGATGACTCTTGGCTATGGATGGGTCCCATTGGAGAATATATATCCAGAGGGTGGGGAGAAAACCAGGGTCAAGGAGGAAATGATGTATTTTAGTATCGGCTGCATCCAGCCAACATCAACATGGCCACTTCTAATAAATCAATTTTCTTTTCTCTGAGATGTGGCTAGAGACTTATGATTGGAATGGGGGTGGATTCGTTGGAGTCCTGACAATATATACCAAAAAGTTGTTTATTATTTTGTGCATTTAATCCTTAAATAAAACACTAGGTGAAATCAGGTTTAATAACAGTGACTGTGAGAGGGATCTGGGAGTCTTAGTGGAGTTTCTGGTGAGTTATGTGATTCTTATTATTTGGGAATTAATCCCCTTGGAAGCTATGTTATCTGATTTTCTCAATGGCTCTCCCTTGCAAGCACTGAGTGGAATGTTTATCTAGCTTGCAACACTTTTACGAGGTGTGAAATGCTCTTGGCTGAATGCCCAGTTCAATTAAGCCTATTAAGAGCTTTCCCTTCCTGCTTGTCTTTCTGAGGTTATTGGGGCTCTCTGAGCCCTGCAGAGTCTTAGCTAGGGGCTTGGGAGCCCCCAGCAGCGACCCCTGGTTGGGAACTATGGCAACTTTACATGCAGGGGACTTCAACTCCCACAATTCCTGAACCAGCAGAATTCTGGGACTTGAAGTCCCCAGGTTGTCAAGTTGCCATAGTTGTTCACCCCTGGGCTGGCGGGAACAGAGGAAACATACAGGTAGAACACTGCACACCAGGACAACTAGACACAAGGAGTTTTTCCCCAAATGCCATCACTCTGCTAAACAAATAATTCACTGTCCAACTATTTACAAAGTCTGCATTACTATTAATCTTCTCATCACTCCTTGTCACCCATCCCCTCCCACTTATGACTGTATGACTGTAACCTTGTTGCTTATATCCTAATGATTTTTATTGACTGTTTCCTAGTATGGTTTGATTGCTTATTGTATCCTATGACTATCATTAAATGTTGTACCTGATGATTCTTGACTCTTGACGAATGTATCTTTTCTTTTATGTACACTGAGAGCATGTGCACCGAAGACAAATTCCTTGTGTGTCCAATCACACTTGGCCAATAAAAGAATTCTATTCTATTCTGTATCACAGTATAAAACGTGCAATGACAGGGAGCTCCAGACTTCATAGATCCTGGTTTAGCAAAGGAGTGAAAACCCCAAAACTTGGATGTTGGCAGACGTGGGTGCATCCCTCTCTTTGTAAATACCAGAAGGATTGCAATTAAAGCTTCACTTCTCGGCCCAGCTGCTTTTTACCTCTCCCTTAGCACGTCAGTGGGAGAGAAGCAAAGCTTTTCCCGTAGATTATTTGGGTCACACATTTACAGAAGTAGATTCTTTTGTGAGTTCTTGCACAGCCTCAAATGCACATCCAGGACCAGGCGAGGGAACGATAGGAGAAGGCAACCCATTTACCAGCACAGATGCTCGGCATGTGATGGGAGAATTGAGTTTTCTACCCTGGGCTGCATTGCTTGGGAGAGATGCAACCTAAAAATAAGGAGAAATTTCCTGACAGCGAGAACGATTCATCAGGGGTACAGTTGGGCTTCAGAAGCCTGATTTCTCTTCATCTACATTAACAGAGTTGAAAGGGACCTTGTCGGTCATCTAGTCCAACCCCCCGCCCAAGCAGGAGACCTTACACCATTGCTGACAGATGGCAGTCCAGTCTCTTCTTGAAAGCCTCCAGGGATGAAGCTCCCACAACTTCTGAAGGCAACTTCTGTTCCATGGGTTGATGGTTCTCCCTGTCAGAAAGTTTCTCCTTATTTCCAGGTTGAATCTCTCCTTGTTCAGTGTCCATCCATTATTCCTTGTCTGGCCTTCGGGTGCTTTGGAAAATAGCTTGAGCCCCCTTCTCTGTGTGGCAGCCCCTCAAATATTGGAAGACTGCTACCCTGTCTTCCTTCGTCCTTCTCTTCCCTAGACCAGCCATGCCCAGTTCCTGCAACCGTTCATCGTAGGTTTTAGCCTCCAGTCCCCTCATCATCGTGGTTACTCTTCTCTGCACTCTTTCTAGAGTCTCAGCATCTTCTTTTATAGTGTGGTGACCAAAACTGGAGGCAGTAGTTGTTCACTGCCCTTCCCTGGAGGTTTTTAAGAAGAGACTGGACAGCCATTTGTCCGAAATGATATAAATTCTCCTTCTTGAGTAGGGGATGGACACGGTGCCTTCCAACTCTGCTATTCTGCTTGGTGGGAAAATTGTTTAAAAGCTGCAGAGAATGCAAGACCAAAATGAGCAATAGATGAAGTCAGAGTTGGAGACAAAGAGCAGACCTGTTCAGTCCAACCTGGTCTCTCTCTCTCTCTCTCAAACAGCCCAATGAACACAGAGAAGAGGCAGGGGAGGGAAAAAACAACAACCTCTTTTGGGAAGTATGGCCTGTTGGTCTTGCATGTGCCAAAGCATTACAGATGCATTTATGGTCCAATGCATTTCTTGCACTCTTCTGACACCAGCCCAGCAGCAAAGCTCAGCTGGGCTGAAATTTATTTATTCAATTTTGATCCAGCTTTTTATAGTTTAAATAAATAATTCAGTGTGGTGAACATACCGAAGATTTCTTCCTCCTCTTATTTTCCCTACAACAGCTACCCTGTGAGGCGGGCTGGGCTGAGAGAATGGGATTGGCTCAAAGTCACTCAGCCATCTCTCACGCCTAAGGTGAGACTAGAACTCCCAGTCTCCTGGTGATTGGCCCAAAGTCAGCTGGCTTTCATGCCTAAGGTGGGACTAGAACTCCCAGTCTTCTGGTGATTGGCCCAAAGTCAGCTGGCTTTCATGCCTAAGGTGGGACTAGAACTCCCAGTCTCCTGGTGATTGGCCCAAAGTCACTCAGCCATCTTTCATACTTAAGGTGGAACTAGAATTCACAGTCTCCTGGTGATTGGCCCATAGTCACCCAGCTGGCTTTCATGCCTAAGGTGAGACTAGAACTCCCAGTCTCCTGGTGATTGGCCCAAAGTCACCCAGCCAGCTTTCATTCCTAAAGTGGGACTAGAACTCCCAGTCTCCTGGTGATTGGCCCAAAGTCACTCAGCCGTCGTTCATACTTAAGGTGGAACTAGAATTCACCGTCTCCTGGTGATTGGCCCAAAGTCACCCAGCTGGCTTTCATGCCTAAGGCAGGACTAGAACTCCCAGTCTCCTGGTTTTTAAGCCAGGACCTTCACCACTACACCAAACAGGCCCCTCAAACAAAACATAGATTCTTATTCAGAAAGTGGCTCACCCAGCAAAAAAAATAAAATAAATCATACCAATAAGCTTCTTTCTTGCAGAGACAAAGGGAATCCTATACATATACAATCCATATGTTAAAACTTCTGCACCAGGTTTTGCGCCCCAGAGTTTAAATGTGAGGCTGTTTCCTTCTACATCTCAGTGCTAACAGATCCTTGGCTTTTCTTTTTTGGGAGTGTGACATTTACGCTCACCTCTCAGGTTTTCCTAGCCAGGGAGCCACCAACTTCTGCTTGCCAACTCACTCCTTACGTTCACATCTACACACAAGCACTGGAAAATATAGTATCTGTTGCTTCCCTAGCAACAACACGAACAAGCAGGATTTGTTGAATGCCCTGCTCTTTACATGTGCAAAATCCTGACGCAGTGCACACACTTCTATTCTTATCTGTGCAATAAAACAGCCAAGATACGGTTGTACTATTTTAAGCAGAGGAATGCCCCGTGCCAGTTTTTTTTCCCCCCTTCGGTGCAAATCAAAGTGTCTCATCACAAAAGTCGCATGCAACAGGCAACACCAAAGAAATCCCATTCATGGCAGGCATCTCTAGCCAGAGAGCCAAGCTGCATTATGGGCTCACCCGGTACGTTATGGTTTGGGAAGCTGAGCTAATTCACAAGCAACTATGTATTTCCAGAGAAACAATCAGGCAAGCTGAATTTTGAACTCAACGAGGCTGTCTTTGACTCAAGAAAATGTCGCTCCTCTCCCCATTTCACAGAAGGGAATGTAAAGATTGATATCCTATGACAGGGGTCCTCAAACTTGGCAACTTGAAGACTTGTGGACTTGAACTCCCAGAATTCTCCAGCTAATGCTGGCTGGAGAATTCTGGGAGCTGAAATCCATAAGTCTTCAAGTTGCCAAGTTTGGAGACCTCTGCCGTATGAACTTCCTAAAAGCTACATGCCCTGTCTGTGAAGTTTGAGTACGCTTACAAGAGAGTAAGCTCAACTGAGTCTGGAGGGATTCATTTCTGAGTAAAGGATTTACTCCCTTTATTGAACTATCCAGTGGAGAAGTTCGCTGCTGAGTAAATATAAAGAGGATTGCAGCAAAACCAACCAAGAGTTGAGATTTCATCTCTCAAACTTCTTCCAAGTTTTGGACTTCTGCCTGTTTGAACTTGTATACTTTTCAAAGATTCCATGCCCGGAAGCCATCAAGAGCGCTCTCTAGCTATCAGCACCTCGTGGTTGGGTTCACACAACCTCGAAACCCCGATCAACAGAACACAAATGCTACATTCACACAGCTCAAAGTCAGAAACTATCCAAGACATCCCGAAAATACACCACGACAAAGGAACAGGCTGAGCTATAACCTATTCCTCTCCAATGTTGGTTAGATTAATGCAGTGTTTCTCAACCGTGCCATCTTTTAAGCGAAACATCTTCAAGGAAGACTACAGTCGAATACAGCTCATCTGTCTGGAATCCACACTATATATCGGACTTTAATACAATTGAGCAAATCCAGAAGTATTTTACAAGAAGAGCACTACAATCCTCTGCTCGCAACAGAATACCCTACACCACCATGCTTCAAATTTTGGGCTTGGACAAGCTAGAACTATGCCACTTACGGTTGGACTAAGTGTAATACACAAAATTATCTACTACAATGTCCTACCAGTCAATGACTACTTCAGCTTCAACTGCAACAATACAAGAGCACACAGCAGATACAAACTCAATGTAAACCGCTCCAAACTCAATTGCAGAAACTACGACTTCAGCAACAGAGGGGTCAATGCCTGGAATGCACTACCTGACTCTGTTGTTACATCCTCTAACCCCCCACTCCTTTAACCTTAAACTATCCACTATTGACCTCACCCCATTCCTAAGATGTCTGTAAGGGGCGTGCATAAGTGCACAATCGTGCCTACTGTCCCTGTCCTATTGTCCCCATTTATTCATACCTATTTCCTGTATTCTTACTCATGTTTATTCTTATACCTATTGTTGTGGTCCGCTGGCAGCAGAGTCGGACAGTGGGGAGGAACATGGGCCAGTCCAGGAGTCTGGGGAGGACTCGGACGAGGGTCCTGCATCTGATGAAGAGATGGAACCAGGACCATCTGGGAGTGGGGTGCTGACTCCGGAGCCTCCGGAGCCTGGCAGCAGCGAGGCAGAGGAACAAGGGGAGCCTGTTCCCAGTGCGCATGTGCACAGAGCTGCCAGAAGGCAAGAACAGTTAAGACAAAAGGGGTGACTTGAGAGCAAGGCTTGGATGTGATTGGCTCCTCCCATAAGACATAAAAGAGAAGCAAAGGGACAGGAACCTTTGCAGGAAGCAACTTTGTTCCTACTGGTCGGTTTGAAACCTGAAGCTCTGTGTTGAATTTGTGCTCCAGTTGGCCTCGTGTAACTAATTGGACATTTAGTCGTTGGCAGCATTTCAAGGAAGATAAAGGTGGATGCTTATCAGACTTATCCCGAAGGACTTTGGCAGACTTCCATGGGACTATTTACAAACTGTTTGAGACTCAAAGACTCATTCCTGGCGGAGTTTGGGGGGAGAGAAAGACTTTTGTTGCTTTCCTTGTGTGCAGCCAAAAGCAGAAGAAGAAAGAAGCGGAAAGAAGCAGCCCGGTGGCCAGGCGAGGCGCGAGTGGGGCAAGTTTCCCCCTCTGCCCTTCCCCCCCTCCCCTCACTACCTCGTGTTGTTCTTAATGCAAGCGACGCAAGCCTTGTGTTCCCGCAGCCTGGATTAATTGCTTTGGGGGTGACATTTCTCTGCGGACCCCCAAAATTTTCTCATGGACCACCAGTGGGTTCCTGGCCCACTGGTTGGCGACCCCTGGACTAGATGACCTCCAAGGTCCCTTCGCACTCTGTTATTTTACATTCAACCTCCTCTCCCCCAGGCTGGCAATCCGAGGAGGGGGGGGGCAAATTCTCCCTCCTGGTCGGGGCCAAAGCTGGAGGAAATGGCTTTCCAGATGCTCCCAGTGTGATGGTGAAAGCAGCCCAGCCCGGATGGTCTGATTCTTCCAGGAAAGGGGGGAGGGGAGCACTTGGTTAATGCATTACTAGGGGACCCCCCTCCCAAGCCCATTCTTGGAAGCCTGGGGCATCAACCCCCCACCCCTCCCACCCCAGTCGGGGTTTCTCCCCTCCCCAGCCTCGTCCCCACCTGCAACTCATGCGCCTGTTGTTTTGGATTCAGGCCAGGGGCGACGGGCACGGCGTGGTCCTGTTGCTGCTGCACGTTGCTCCGCGTTCCAAGACCGACCCTGGAGGGCAGCGACTTGCAGCCGGCGCCTCTTCCCTTGGCACCGGCCCCAAAGGCTAAGAGGCACCCCCCCCCCCCCCCCCCCCCCCCCGAATCCCTCCGCCCCCCCCCTGGGGCAACGCAAAGCCCAGGCATGCCCCCCCCCCCCCGGTCTCCTCATTAAGGCAAGGCAAACGCCCTGCGCCCGATCCAGCCGCCTCCCTTCCGCACCAATTCGCGCCCGACTTGCGCGGCTGCTCCAGCCCGAACCCGAGGCGTGCCGTGGCCGAGTCCGATTGCCCTTGCCCGGCTGCGCGCATCCAAAGGATGGATCCGCGCAGCCGGGCAAGGGAGTTGGGAGCCTTCCCCCTCCCATCCGGAGGAAGGTTGCCACGCATTGGAGCCTCGGAGGGAGACCCCCCCCCTCGTCGGCGGAGCCCCCAGCCCGCCCCGGTCCCGTTGCGCGGGTCTGGCTCACCTGCTCCTGGATGAGCTGACGCAGCGAGCTCCTCTCCATATACCCGCGGCTGGCGGCGCTGGCGGCCGAGGAGGAGGAAGAAGAGGAAGGCGGCCGGGCTGGCACCACCGGCGGGGAGCCCAGGAAGCCCCTGCTCCTTCCCCGCCGCCGCCGCCGCCGCTGCCGCTGCCGC